AAGGTTTGAATGAACACTTCAGTCTCAATCAAGAATCTAATGGTGTTTGATAATGACAAGACCTAACAGAAACGGTAGTTAGGTCCATACCTCAAAAGGAAAAATAAGGGGCAGATTGTGAGTCTTGTGCGTGGGTGTAAAGAAAAAACGATGAGATTATTGAATTTTTCACGCCACCACAAATTTCTCACCAATACTCATCAGTTCCCACAACGAACACTTTTTTCTTCCAAAATCGGTCCCTAATTGAGATTCGGGAACAAAATCATTGGAAATGTTTNATAATGACAAGACCTAACAGAAACGGTAGTTAGGTCCATACCTCGAAACGAAAAACAAGGGGCAAATTGTGAGTCTTGTGCGTGGGTGTAAAGAAAAAACGATGAGATTATTGAATTTTTCACGCCACTACAAATTTCTCACCAATACTCATCAGTTCCCACAACGAACACTTCTTTCTTCCAAAATCGTTCCCTAATTGAGATTCGGGAACAAAATCATTGGAAATGTTTGATCGGAGAGCTTCGAGTGCAAGAAAAGTCTGTTAACGTCTGCATTGCAGGAGAGTGAACGACAGTGATCCGTTCTGGAACCATAGCTGGGATGAGTACAAAAATGGCTTTGGAAAAGTGGGATCGGTAAGTTAAAATGACCCACGAACAGACGTAAGCTCTTAACTGTACCAATCAATCGTCTATATCCAGAACACCACATTCTGGTTGGGTAACGAGCTTCTTCATCAGCTCACTTACAAGGATCCCAAAGTGACTCTGAGAGTGGAAATGAGAGGCGACAGAACAAAGAACTCGAAAAATCCCAAAGGATTCTGGTGGAATCACTATTTCAAATTCCGGGTTCGTAATTTGTGTTCTACTCTTAAATTTTCTAGCAAACTAGATTTTTATAGCCGGAATGTTCTTGAGAAGAATGTAAAACTTTTCGTTTTCACAATGAGAAGAAGCTTTGGTTCTGTGCCCAATGTTTTCTTCCTCAATCCAACTGCAACCAATTCAATGTTCAAGCTGTTCGCATTTCGAAAAATTTTTTCTTGAGAATTGAAAGTCAATAGAGCAATCAAAAATAGTAGATATATCGGAATGGTTGTGACCAAAAAAGAGGGGTGAATCTGTACTTCAGCCCTGAACTTTCGTTTTTGGTTCAAGCCCCAAAAAATGGGAGAGCTTGGCTAACTAGCTACTTACCTCTTTATAGGTTGGATCAGAAGCAACCGACTATACGCTTGAGAGACTTCACGTGGATAAGCGAAAGATTCAAGGTAACGCGTCGACAGGATGGTGAGTGCTATGCCTTCATGATGAAATATTCACTAAACCTGCAAAGATAAAAAGAATCATTAAAAGAAAATGGTATGGAGATTCAGGTATGACATGACGCGCTCCGTTGGAGCGAAATTCTCAACCGTTGACAAGATCAATGACCCAAGACCTGATTGCGTTACG